CAGATACAGAGAGAACTAAAAGGGGACACCAAGAATATTGAGCTGAGAAACTATAAAATGGGAGTTGCCATTAAACAGAAAGGGGAAGAGCAAGTTTGGGGAGTATCGGTGGCTCCATGTGGGCCTTCATTTTGAGATTCCTGACTGACACCCAAGTGAAGAAGTCAGGCGGTGTTGGGTATAGTCCAGTGTTGACGTGTAATATGAAATATCAGGAAATTAATGACACAAAAATTAGTAAAAAAGCAAAGCAAAGATAGATAAGTCCAGGTCCTGAGCCAAGTGCTTCTCTAACATTTAAAAAGTAGTAAAGGTGAGAAAAAAACAGCAAAAAAGGACCAGGGGTAATTATAAAAAATGTTCGGGGGGAAAGTGGGTTAAGTGTTCTGGAATTCTGTTAAAGAAAGTTTTGCAAAAAGGAGGGAGAGATCACCTGTGTCAAATGCTGCTGATACATAAATTAAGACAAAGGCTGAGGAATTATGCTGCAATTCATAATTTAACAATATGACTATTGTTTGTGCTTTGAGAAGCGCAATTTTGTTGGAGTGAGTAGGTAAGAAACCATATTGGAGTCCTTGCTCAAAGGAATGTCTGACCTCTGGATTCTTTTTTTTTTTTTTTAAGATGGAGTCTTGCTCTATCACGCAGGCTGGAGTGCAGTGGGCTTGATCTTGGCTCACTGCAACCTCCACCTCCTGGGTTCAAGCGATTCTCCTGCCTCAGCCTCCCGAGCAGCTGGGACTACAGGTATGCAACACCATGCCTAGCTATCTAGCTAAGTTTTGTATTTTTTGTAGAGACGGAGTTTCACCACATTGGCCAGCCTGTTCTTGAACTCCTGACCTCGTGATCCACCCACCTTAGCCTCCCAAAGTGCTGGGACTACAGGCGTGAGCCACCGTGCCCAGCCTGACCTCTGGATTTCTAAGGGAATTTTTTATTGAACAGCGGAGGCACAAATTGGATTAGTTTTAATTCTGGGATCAGGACATATGCTAAACATGTGCCTCTGCATGCCCTGCTTTTTTTAAGCTAGGTATTCTACTATCCTTTAATAATATAATAATCATCTGCAAAACCTACGCCCATTTAATTGAAAAACTTTACGAAGACTGATACTAGAGGTTGTTGGAGAGGACGTGGTTTCATGTAATATGAGTCACTGATGGACAAGTAAACTGGTAAAATTTCTTCGGAAAACTGGTCATACTTGTTACACTTAAATGTTCAGATACCCAGAAATTCCATATTGTCATATGTTTCCATGAGAAAAAACAAGAGACCTGTATTAAAATATCAACGATTATTAAAAATAATCACACTGGGTTTCATGATTTTTGTGTTAGCAACTCAGTCTCTGCCTGTTTTCAGCAGCACAACCTCTACCCAATATACATTTTGTTTTTTTTTTAGTCTACCACTCTCTAAGAACAAATACTATATTTTCTATCAATTCTACATTCAGTGTCTATAACAGAAACCAGCATTTTGTAGATTCCAAAGAATTATTTGTTGAATAACTTAAATACGTTATTATTTAGAGTATTTATATACAAATAATGTTATCATCTCAATACAGTGATAACATTTGTTATGCAGAAATTGATTTCCATCTCAGTTAAAAATATTTTGGGCATATGAGTTACTGTCACATATAGATGGTCACATTGTTTTGTTTACGTGAAGCTGTTTGTAGTTAATGTACATTTTTGGTACTTAAGCCTTTTGGTCTTGCTGCCATAGCAAATAGTGTGCCGCTTAAGAACATGAACCTGGCTGGGCGCGGTGGCTCA